TGTACTTTCATACTTTCAAAAAGTCTTGCCAAGAAAGGCCTTAACTTAAATATAAAAAAAGGTTTTATATAGGTTAAGAATTTAAGACCCTAACATGAGCTTGTTCAGGCCTGCCTCGAGGGGCTTGTTGGGGGTCTGGGGACAAATTCCCTAGCCACCATGCTTAAAAAAACACAAAAAGCACAAAAATTAAAAGAGCGCACGCCTGGGCTGAGGTGCAAGGCATGCACCTTTATAAAGGGGTTGTGCTTGGTCCTAGGTGAGGTGCAGGCCATGAAATTCACCTTGCCTGTATGCCTAGGCTTGCCTTTTTAATAACTGGCCAAGCCACATCCAAACCATTCTTCTCAGGCGGGGGTATTCCAAACAATCTGACCACCCCCAGTCTCATAGCAGTCACTCTAGCAAATTTGTCTACTGCCGTTGCAAATATACTAGGATAAGATGCACAAAGAGGGGATTCACCACACAATGGGTACTTCCAGAAATAGGTATTATAACCACTTTCTGGTTATGACGAGATGAATTGAAAGAACTGGTCCCTAAACTTCATTATGCCTCTCCATAGACCTACACTATACAGCTCGTTGATATGATTTAATTCCCAGCCAAGGCCAGCATCCCCCTATTTACAGCAAATAACCTTGCACTAAAGCCCCTCTTTTTCAAAACCAAAGCACAATAGTCATTTACATCAAAGAACCTGATTCATTAGCTTTAGGGGTCAGACACCTACTCCACCATCCTGTTTCAATTGGCACACTTCCATGCAACTAGACAAAACTTCTTTTCATCCTCTTTTCCATCCCAAAGAAATCCATTAAGAGTTCCTTTTAGCCAAAATGTGGCAAATGGTATGAAAATCTAATAAAAATTTTCATGTGTAGTGCATGCCAACTTGGTAAAACATTTGCATCAGATAGCATCACAAATGCCCTCTTTACTAGAAAAAAATTCAATAGCTTTTGAATAGACTACGTCCACTAGAGAATAATCCTTCTAAATGTAGTGAAAAATCAACAAAGCGGAGAGGCAAGCAGGTAACAAGCTGCAATTGACAATGTTGTAATAATTATAGGGGATCTATTATCAGAAAGAAACAGGTTTAAGATTATGAAAATGATATGGCATTCATGTCATTTGTATAATTAAGTACACGGCATTTATACTAGGTGCCTGGAAGGGTCCCATGCATTGAGCACAGTTGTGTGGTCTCTGCTTTTGGATTTGTAGTTAAGAGTTCTGTTTCAATTGTTGTGGGTTAGAAATTACCTTGTTGGCAGTCTATTTGGGTTCCTACAGTGCGAGAGCCTGAGGGGTAGGTCTCTCTTTGCAGCCCAGTGAGCCCTCTTTTATTTACTTTTCTGCTGGCCTTGTCATGCACTCCCCAAACCCCACATCGTATGTGGCTCTTCTTTTGTGTATTTTTATTGGGAGGGAGTGTTGGGGGGCTACTTCATTGTGATAAAACAAAGAAGACAGGATTGTGGTATCAAGACATGTCATGAATTCCAAAGGCATTTTTGATACAATGGATACACAAGTCAAGTCTACATATAATTTTTCTTTGAAAACCTATTTTTTTAAATACATTTCTGCATGTACAAGCACACTGTATAGGCATCTTTTCAGTAAACAAAACCATTATTTCCTTGGAAAAACTAAAACAAATAAAAAGGCTAAAAAGCACAAGATGAAGGCCAAATTTTATATTAGCTTGAGTTATTTTGCTTATGTTTGTAGAGAAAACCACTCTTGCTTGTCTTGCACAGTCCAATTTCCTGTATATTTACGATTGAACAGTACAACATGACTACATGAGACAAAATAAGAAACCATATCATCATCATCCAAGCCTTATCCCAACTATATGGGGCCACTACATGAATCCTGTTTCGCCATTCTGGTCTATTTAAAGCCATATACACTGTTAAATTATGGGCACTTAAATCATTTCTAACTATTTCAACCCATATCCGTTTTGGTTTACCCCTAACCCTTCTATCCCCTTTAACTTACAACAAATTGATATTTCTTACAACTGCTGTTGGTGGTCTTCCATGCACGTAACCAAACCATGTTAGTCTATTTTCTCTCATTTCATCACCTAGTAGAGATACTCCTAGGTTCTTTTGAATGACTTTATTTCTGACCCTATCCTTTTTAGTTTTCCTATTAACCCATCTAAGCATACACATTTCTACCACTCTCAAACACTCCATGCAACATAGCAGGCAACTATTATATAGAATTTTCCTTCCAATATAAGTGGTATTCGTCTATCACATAAGACTCCGGATGTGCCCCTCCATTTTGCCCATCCCACTCTAATTCTGTGGACGACAGGACGACATCCTCCTCAATCTCTCCCTTGTCATAAATTATCAAACCAAGGTACTGGTAAAGGTCACATTGTGTTATCTTCTAATCTCCAATCGTAAGTGTATCCTCATTTGCATTACACTCCTATTATTATTAAATTGGCATATCATATAATCTGTTTTAGTTCTTATTTTAAAACAACTTGTTCCTAAGTCATGGAAATGCCGAACCTGCCTGTTACAGACATATGAGCCAAGGTATTTGGCTTTAAAGGTTTTCATTCCCCTTTTAGGATTCCTTTTATATCAATATTAGGATTCTTCTAATTACTTAACCAAAAAAAGCACCAGAATCAGTTACTGTGAACCATAAAGTAATAGAGTAGATAGCAGATCCCCATTAAAATTGATCTAGATGTTAGTTGAACCACACAAAAATGTCACTAGCAAAAGGAATTCCTCAAATCCATTTCCACTGTATTAATTCATTAGATGTCTGCAGGTCATCAGTCACATGAGCTGGAACTGGTAGATCATTTAGAGGATGTCTGAACAATTGTGTTTCATGGGCATTCAGTTTCACATTAATCAGGAACACAACAGTCCTGATCATGCATCTTTCTTTTGAATAACCTGTTTGATATAGGCACATGCTGACTAGGTGTTTAAGCCCCTGTTTGGTATCACTTATTTTAAGTACTTATTTGAATGAGTACTTAAAAGAAGTGGTGGGACCACAAAATAAGTGGCAAATAAGCACTTATTCACGTTTAGTGAAAAAGAAGCAAATAAGTGCTTATTTTCAAAATAAGTACTTAAAAATAAAAAGAAAAAAAAGGCAACCTAGGGGCTGCTTATTTTAAGAACTTATTCCAATTTTTAGGACAAAACTGTCCCCATCATTTTTTCAAAACCCAAGGGCTGCTTATTTTGAGCTCCAACATGAACCAGTGGTGGCAACAGGTGACTCTAGGCTGAGAAATCATTCCAAGTATGTCATTTCCTCTCTTTTACTCCATTTTGGGCAACTCTTCATGGCTATAATTGTCATTTCCAATAAGTATAAGTACTTATTGGTTAAGCGGCTCACCAAACACTGTAACCCAAATAAGTACTTAAAATAAATGCAAGTGGTTTGGGAAAGGACCTCCCAAACACCAATAAGTACTTATTGCTTAAACCACTTATTCGCCAAACATGGCCTAGAGCATTTAACTTAATTACTTAAAACATTCAATATCACCCCCCCCCACAAAACTCAAAGCACAAATATCAGCGCAGCATTTCTCCAAAAAATGGTCCACCAAATATGGTTTTGTGGCATTTCTGTTTTTTTCCCTTGGTATGGCAAGTTGGTGAAAAAGAACAACTGTGAAACACATTGGTTCCAAATATCATCTTAATTGTCACTCCTAGTACCAGGGGGCAGCAAGAATTTATTACGAAGATAACCAATTATTTTATGATGTTCACAGAGAAATCATGACATTGTCATATAAACCAAAAAGGGAATCATCTTTTTGAGTGGCGTCAGAGAAATAGAGAAGTGAAAACCATGAATTGACCTCTTTGTATATTAAAAAGACAAATCCAAAATGAATAAAACCAAAGTGAAATCCATGAATTGACCTCTTTGTATGCAACATGGACATTCAACCTTTGTTTTAATAACCTATTCTTATGAAATTCCTTGATCCATCTAACTGTACAGACTACAGAGTAATAAGATGGCAGTGTTGCATCCAAATGTACCTCTATAGAAACTTTATGGAGCTATGAAATAGATGCAACACTGTAGCCAGACATATGCATCTCAGAAAGCAGAAGCAATCTCAACATCACAGTACTTATCAGAAAATATCTCAAAGTTACAATCTAACTCGGATCCTTACCAAGTTTTAAATAGCAAGGCAAAGATTGAAACAGGAAAACTAACTGAATAGATGTAATGGATTATATGTCTACAAAAAGAAATTTTGATTAGCCACCTCAAAAATCTTCATGGAAATCACTATAGGCTGAACTGTTTAATCAATCGAGCTATACAGGACAAATATCTCAGTTTGAGCATATATACAAGCAATACTGATTTAAGCCTGGGTGATGGTTGTTTATCTGAAAAATGGATTGACTTCGAGCTTCAACTACAACTCCCTAGAAAAAAAAAAAGGTTATAAATTTTTCTAGAAATAGATGATCTTTTAGACCAGGAAAAATCAGCTTCAACGTGCTTGTTTATGGGGAATAAACAACGATATGATGGCACGGATTAAAGAAGCTTCACGATTCTTATCCTTGTCCACTCTCCCTACTGAATGGCCATTTGTCAAATATCGAGAAGAATTGTTACTGTGCTTTCCAACCCATGTACCTAGTGTTCTTCCTTCTCGCTCAAGGCCACCTAGAAATGAGAAAGGTCATCAAGTTTGCTGGGTTATCTCCCTCTCTTCCAAAATGTTGAGTATTTCGTTTCTTTTCCTTTTTTTTCTTAGTTGGATCCAGTTTACACATCTGAATTTCAATCCATTTCTTTAAAAGAAAATGAAACACATTTATCCAATGCATATTCGAACTCGTTCAATTGAACGAATAACTAGAAAAAAAAAATAGCCATATTGAGTTCATAAAGAGATTAAATAAAGTAAAACAACAATTAAAAGAGAAGATCAGTAAACATACTTGTAAAGTGGATCGGAGTCCCCAGCACTGGCGTTGAGAACTCCAAACAGACACGAAAGTGCCGCCAAAAAAGCAATCCAACAACGATCTGCCATCTAGTTCAAAACAGTTGCCTCGAAATAAAAAATAAAGCTCCGGAGATCTCCAAAACCATATCAACAGCAAGAAGATATTCTATTAGATGAAGACTGATTGTCTTCTATTTGCAGTAGGTTTGAGACTTTGAGTCAGCTCAAATCGTCCCTGATTCTTCTATATAAACACAATTTATTTATGAAATGAAAAGGAATAACTGTAGAACTCTGGAAGAATAAGAAGCTATTCGAAACCCTAAAACACAGTCTCGGAGAAGGAAACCTGAACCAAGTACAAGATTGTCTTATTAATATCTTTTTCCTTTGGCGAATCGCAAGTTCGACGGAGTTCTGGGTTTCAGAAATGAACTCTGAAAGCAAGACAATCCGACTCGTGGAGATCCTTAAAGTTTTCTTTCCCGTGGGCCAGGTAGAAATGAACAAGTTGATTGGTCTTCTTTATTGCTGGATTTACCGTCAAGAGTCAAGACCAAATATTCAACGATCAACATGAACGGATGATTCTCAAGCTCAGCCCTCGTACTTCATCCCTTCTAACGGTGGAGATGACGGGATGCTATCGTCTCTTTTCCCTCTCTGTACTGCCTTAATATTTTCCCCGAGTGCGAGAGAGAAACATCCGTCCCTAAGCACGAGCCCCCGATCCCGTGTAAGCGTGCGAAGATTCCACCTCCGTCTCCATTTTCAACATTTAGAAAATATAAATAAATTCAAGACCCACCCTTCTCTCTCTCCCCCTCTCTCCATTGCCTGCAACCGCCGAAACCCTTATCCTGCCGGCAACTCTCTCTGTCAAACACTTTCTCTTCTCAATCCCTGTTAATTCATTATCTCTCTTCCCTTCTCTTCTCTTTTAGATAATATGGCAATGATCTGGTTTTCTTGGTTCGTGATTGTATTCTTACATTAATTCAGGTATTCGATTTCGTAGAGTCGAGAAGACCATCATTGCCAATTCTTTCACTCCCAACTCCCAAGAGCATCCCAGTAGAAATGGAAGCGGCGACAACTTGTACTGTTCCTTCACCTTGGAGTGAACACTTTCATTCATGGACTCTGACTCTGGAAGTCGGTCGGCATGAGAAGCCTTTCTATATTTAACCCAATGGGGATGGATGTGCTGCTTCTAATGCGAAAATCACTCTGATAATACTCGACGAAACAGCGTGAATGGAATGGCTTCTACCTATGGCCGCCCTCCCAATACACAGAACATTCTGCCAAGAGTAGTCCAATACAAATGGACACAGTGATGTCATCCTAGAACTCGTTGATGCAGAAAACCCTGGAGGTGTAGATAGGGTTGTATAACCAAAGAAGGTTTTGAAAGGCCGAAAAAAAAATATTTATTCTCTGAGGCGAATTTCTTAAACTACCCTTAACGTTTAAGAAATTAATTAATTCTACCCTTACTGTTTTTAGAAGGATTAAAATGACCGTTTAACCTTTAAGTCAAATTAAAAGTTCCTTAATCGGGTCTTCACCGCCAAAATCCAGACTAAGGAGGGAGTGTCGCTGCTCCGTCACTGCGTCGAGATTGGGAGGGTACAGAGCGCCGGAGCAAATCAAGAGAACACGGGTAGGATCCAGAGCGCCGCTGGGAGTGCCCCTGATTTGACTTGAAATAGATCGGTGGCCATCTCTTCGTGGAGACGGGTAGCGGTCGTTAGCGGCTAACTCTTCCAGCTTTTCTCTTCCAAGAGGGATTTCAGGGCTGCAGTGATGCAGAGAAAAGCGAGGATGATGAGCCATATCTCCATAGGCTGACTACCATTTTCTGATTAATTTTCTGTTGAAATTGAGGAAATGCAGTGCAAACCAACCCAGAATTGAGGACGTCAATGATTAGATGAGATTTCCGCAAGGCGAAAAGGTTGAATCCAAACTCGTCACAGAGAAAACCCGTGAAAAGTTATTCGATTTTCTTCGTCTTCGACATCTCTAATTTGTAAGTGGAACAAGTTTCATTTCATTTCTTTATTATTTTAAAATTGATGAGGGTTAATTTGGGCAGACCCATCAACAATCGAACACGTGAAAGCGATCTGGTGACCTATGATAATTCAGTATTTCCTGCCACCTCAGCAACAGGCCAGGTCAGCTTAAGTACCTTATAACTTCGTCCAAAACCGAAATCTGAGTAGCTTGTGATTATCCGATGACACTAATAGAAACTAACAGCTGCCTCCGATCTCTTTGGGATTACGTCGTACGTCTGCAAACCTCATCATCATCTCGCCTGGATTGTGAGTTGTGAAGTTGGGATTTGCAGGTGTTAACCGATTTACAGTGCTACGGCGTGTCATCCGTGTAGGACAATGCTGCAATCGAGCTTCTGCTTGCAGCCCCCTGGCAATCGACCTTCGACGGGATACTTGTCGGGTGCATATTGACAAAATCGCAAATGATAGCTACTGCAGTTACCTCTGCTACACCGGCGAAAGAACTAGGGGAAGGGATTGATGGAGAAGAAGAGGGATAAATCTGACGAAGCTTCCTTTCTGCAAAAAGAGGGACAAATCTGACGAAGAAGAATAAGGAAAATAAAAACCGAGCTCCTTTTCTCTTCTATGACCGACGTCGAAGAGATTTCCACCTCTCTCTCATTCTCTCCCCGAAGGGATAAGAGATCCATCCTATGGACGCCCAAAGATTGCGGAATAAGGGGCGAATTTCAAAAATTTTATCTCTCCCTTCAAGTGGGAATCGTATTCYCTATTTAGAAAATCATATTTTCAAGGATCAATCTTGAACCATAAACTGAACCAGATCTGAACCAAAAGGAGTGGGAGATGATTATACCTGATACGGAGAAATACTATCTCCCAATGGAGGTGTTCACGCCCAAGGAATGATCCAAAATCTGCTC